GTATCCTTGGATTATGGACATGAAACATGAATCCTGATCAATCCTAGATTCATGAAACATGAATCCTAGACTTTTGGTCCCCTGGCTAGATTGTTGGCGAGGCCATTGCTTATGTCTGACTAGCTCTCTGAAATGAGACTTTTTCATGAAAATCCTGATCCTGGCCAAGAGGTGGTGAAATTTCAGGTGAGTTGTATGATGCAGATAATGTATTCTGCAGATTAATAGAAATCAGAGCTTCCAATGCAGGGGGCCAGGGCTCAATCCCTGGTCATGGAACTAGATCGCACATATTGCAACTAAGAACCTGCATGCTGAAATGAAGATCAAAGATCTTGTGTGCTACAACTAAGACCTGGCACAACCAAATAAATAAATATTAAAAAAAAGTAGTACTGAGTCTGTGTGTCTTCGTCTTAGCTGTCCCAAGTCATATAGCCTGGGGAGGTCTCCCAGGGGAGCCCGTCCTGCCCATGCTTCCTTTCCTTCTAGGGTCAATTCTTCTTCTGTTCAGGCCTGCTTTTTGGCTCTCCTGTGCCTTTAAGTAGTTGTTGGTTATATTCTCTTCAGATTTGTAATCATTTGCTGTGGGAGTGTTAGTGTGAAGAAAACTATTCTGCCATGACCGGGATTGGAATTTCAGTAAGCGCTAAGTGAAAGTGAATGTGAAGTTGCTCAGTCGTGGCTGACTCTTTGCAACCCCATGGGCTGTAGCCTACCACACCCCTCCATCCATGGGATTTTCCAGGCAAGAGTACTGGAGTGGGTTGCCATTTCCTTCTCCAATAAGTACTAATGCATAGTTTTTTCATTATCATTCAGTTCAAAATTTTGGTTTCCATTATAATGTCTTCTCTGGGACATGGGATATTTAGCCATGTATTTAATGCTTTTTTTAAGCTTAAAATTTTTTTGAGGCGTTGTCCTCTGTTGTTCCCTTCTCCTCTTGCCTTAAATCTTTCCCAGCATTAGGATCTTTTCTAATGAGTTGGCTCTTTGCATCAGGTGGCCCAAAGTATTGGAAATTCAGCTTCATCATCAGTCCTTCCAATGAATATTCAGGATTGTTTACCTTTAGGATTGACTGGTTTGATTTCCTTGCTGTCCAAGGGACTCTCAAGAGTCTTCTCCAACACCACAGTTCAAAGGCATCAATCACAGAAAACCAACCAAAGTGATCACATGGATCACAGCCTTGCCTAACTCGATGAAACTATGAGCCATGCTTTGTAGGACCACCCAAGATGGATGGGTCATGTTGGAGAGTTCTGACAAAACATGGTCCAGTGGAGAAGGGAATGGCAAACCACTTCAGCCTTATTGCCTTCAGAATCCCATGAGCAGTATGAAAAGGCTGTACATTACATGACTTATTTTGTAACTGGAAGATTGTAACTTTTGACCACCTTCACTCATTCTTATTAACCCTCACCCCTACTTCTGGCAACCACCACCCTGTTCTCTGTGCTTATCAGCCTGGGTTTTTGTTTTTGCTTCTTTTTTTTCCCCTTCAGATTATACATATGAATAAAATCACACCGTGTTTTTCTTTCTCTGTCTGATGTATTTTACTTAGCAAAATACCCTCTAGGTCTATCCAAAGAATGGCAAGATTTCATTCTTTGTTATGGCTGAGTAATAGTCCAGTGTGTGTGTGTGTGTGTGTGTGTGTGTGTGTGTGTGTGTGTGTGTGTATGTGTGTCTGTGTATCTATATCTATCTATTTATCTATATGTGTCAAATCTTCTTTATCCATTCATCAATCATTGGACCCTCAAGTTACTTCCATATCTTGGCTATTGTAAATATTATAGATAGTGATCATGAGGGTGCCGACGCATATATCTTTTAAAAAATTTGCTTTTGGCTTCTAGCTTAATCCCATCACGGTCTGAGACTAACTCTGTATGATTTTAATCTTCTGGATGTTGATTGAACACATAGCTTAGTCTGTGGACAATTGGTGTCTATATTCTGTGTTTACTTTTTTTTTTTTTTCATTTATTTTTATTAGTTGGAGGCTAATTACTTTACATCATTGTAGTGGTTTTTGTCATACATTGAAATGAATTAGCCATGGATTTACATGTATTCCCCATCCCGGTCCGCCCTCCCACCTCCCTCTCCACCCGATCCCTCTGGGTCTTCCCAGTGCACCAGGCCCGAGCACTTGTCTCATGCACCCAACCTGGGCTGGTGATCTGTTTCACCCTAGATAATATACATATTTCAATGCTGTTCTCTTGAAACATCCCACCCTCGCCTTCTCCCAGAGTCCACAAGTCTGTTCTATACATAGGAGTCTCTTTTTCTGTTTTGCACATAGGGTTATCGTTACCATCTTTCTAAATTCCATATATATGTGTTAGTATACTGTAATGGTCTTTATCTTTCTGGCTTACTTCGCTCTGTATAATGGGCTCCAGTTTCATCCATCTCATTAGAACTGATTCAAATGAATTCTTTTGAATGGCTGAGTAATATTCCATGGTGTATATGTACCACAGCTTCCTCATCCATTCGTCTGCTGATGGGCATCTAGGTTGCTTCCATGTCCTGGCTATGATAAACAGTGCTGCGATGAACATTGGGGTGCACGTGTCTCTTTCAGATCTGGTTTCCTCGGTGTGTATGCCCAGAAGTGGGATTGCTGGGTCATATGGCAGTTCTATTTCCAGCTTTTTAAGAAATCTCCACACTGTTTTCCATAGTGGCTGTACTAATTTGCATTCCCACCAACAGTGTAAGAGGGTTCCCTTTTCTCCACACCCTCTCCAGCATTTATTGCTTGTAGACTTTTGGACAGCAGCCATCCTGACTGGTGTGTAATGGTACCTCATTGTGGTTTTGATTTGCATTTCTCTGATAATGAGTGATGTTGAGCATCTTTTCATGTGTTTGTTAGCCATCTGTATGTCTTCCTTGGAGAAATGTCTGTTCAGTTCTTTGGCCTATTTTTTGATTGGGTCATTTATTTTTCTGGAGTTGAGCTGGAGGAGTTGCTTGTATATTTTTGAGATTAATCCTTTGCCTGTTGCTTCGTTTGCTATTATTTTCTCCCAATCTGAGGGCTGTCTTTTCACCTTGCTTATAGTTTCCTTTGTTGTGCAAAAGCTTTTAAGTTTAATTAGGTCCCATTTGTTTATTTTTGCTTTTATTTCTAAAATTCTGGGATGTGGGTCATAGAGGATCCTGCTGTGATTTATGTCGGAGAGTGTTTTGCCTATGTTCTCCTCTAGGAGTTTTATAGTTTCTGGTCTTACATTTAGATCTTTAATCCATTTTGAGTTTATTTTTGTGTATGGTGTTAGAAAGTGTTCTAGTTTCATTCTTTTACAGGTGGTTGACCAGTTTTCCCAGCACCACTTGTTAAAGAGGTTGTCTTTTTTCCATTGTATATCCTTGCCTCCTTTGTCAAAGATAAGGTGACCATAGGTTCGTGGATTTATCTCTGGGCTTTCTATTCTGTTCCATTGATCTATATTTCTGTCTTTGTGCCAGTACCATACTGTCTTGATGACTGTGGCTTTGTAGTATAATCTGAAGTCAGGCAGATTGATTCCTCCAGTTCCATTCTTCTTTCTCAGGATTACTTTGGCTATTCGAGGTTTTTTGTATTTCCATACAAATTGTGAAATTATTCGTTCTAGTTCTGTGAAAAATACCATTGGTAGTTTGATAGGGATTGCATTGAATCTATAGATTGCTTTGGGTAGTATAGCCATTTTGCAGATGACATGATCCTCTACATAGAAAATCCTAAAGACTCTACCAGAAAATTACTAGAGCTAATCAACGAATACAGTAAAGTTGCAGGATATAAAATTAACACACAGAAATCTCTTGCATTCCTATACACTAACAATGAGAAAACAGAAAGAGAAATTAAGGAAACAATACCATTCACCATTGCAACAAAAAGAATAAAATACTTAGGAGTATATCTACCTAAAGAAACAAAAGACCTATACATAGAAAACTATAAAACACTGATGAAAGAAATCAAAGAGGACACAAACAGATGGAGAAATATACCGTGTTCATGGATTGGAAGAATCAATATTGTCTGTGTTTACTTGAAAAGAATTTGTATTCTTAGCTCTTGGGTGCTCTATGTCAGTTATATTTGTTAACCATGTTCAAATATTCAATAGTTTTTACCTTTTTATTTTGATGTGCTTTTCCTGTCAGTGAGACTTGTACATGAACATCTCCCACTGTACTGGGAATTTTATCTAATTATCCTTTTAATTCTGTTAATTTTTTCTATTTATTTGCAGTTTGTGTTGTTATATGGGACTTCCCAGGTGGCTCGGTAGTAAAGAATCTGCATGATAAGCAGGAGATGAGGGTTTGATCCCTGGATTGGGAAGATCTCCTGGAGGAGGAAGTGGCATCCCACTCCAGTATTCTTGCCGGGAAGATCCCATGGACAGAGGAGCCTGACGGGCTACAGTCCATGGGGTTGAAAAGAGTCAGACATGACTCAGAGACTGAGCATGCATGTTGCTTATATGAGTATAAATTTAGAATTATGTCATCCTTATGAATTGAATCCTTTAACAGTATGAATTTTCCCTCTTTATCTCTGATAGTACCTTTCCCCTTAAAGTCTGCTTTGTTTGCTTTTAATGTAGTGACATCAATTTCTTTTGGTTTAGGCTTTTCATTGTGTTCAGTTTCTTTTGGTTTAGGCTTTTCATTGTGTGTGTGTATTTTTTTTCCTTTTCCTTACATTTATTTTTTTAAGCATCTGGGTTTTACTTTCTTTTATCCTAGAGTGACAATCTTTCTTTTAATTTAGGACATTTAGGTTACTTGGTTAATATAATTACTATATTTACCTTGAAACCAACCATTGTACTATTTCTTTAGTGTTTCATTCACATGTTGCTTGTTTTCCTCTACCTCACGGTTATTAACTCTGTGAATTTTCCATTGTATCATGCATCACATTACTCTCATTTGTCATATGAAGGTGACTTTCTTGTCTTTTGTAGGTAAAGATAGAGTTTTTAATACCCCACTGTGTGAACAAGGAATCGTTGGATTTGGAATTGGAATTGCAGTCACTGGTGCTACCGCCATTGCAGAAATTCAGTTTGCGGATTATATTTTCCCTGCTTTTGATCAGGTGAGAAGATTGCATTTTGCCCTAATGGAGCATCTCTAAGGCAAGTCCGTTAAGTTTGCAACTTTTACCTCCAGTCTCCCGCCCCCTATCTTAGGAACTTTTTGTTACCTTTGAGCTATTTTGTTATGGGCATGCATTTAAAGATTAGATAAAATGGCTTAAGAAAATCGATGGGAATAAAAGGACCAATCATGAGATGTCCCTTTTCCCTTTTCCCCTCAGATTGTTAATGAAGCTGCCAAGTATCGCTACCGGTCTGGGGACCTTTTTAATTGTGGTAGCCTCACCATCCGGTCCCCTTGGGGCTGTGTGGGCCATGGGGCTCTCTATCATTCCCAGAGTCCTGAAGCTTTCTTTGCCCACTGCCCAGGAATCAAGGTATTCTCATTTACGTACTTTGCTTGCTCTCCATTTGATGTTTCCATTTTGGTTCATTCTATTAGTATTAACTAATATGCTTATCTAGAGAAAAACAATCAGTATTTTTGAAATTTATGTGAATTTAATTGTTTTTAAGAAAGAGAACTTTTATTTCTTTTAGATTAAGCACCCAGTCCAGGTTTATAGACTGTTCTTCTTGAAGTGACACTGGCTTGACCCTGATGTTAATTTCATATACTTCAAATAATAAGACCGAGAACACAGTTTATCTTCAACCTCTTTCAAAGCTCTCTTTCTTTCTATTCTTTTTGCAATAAAAATCATATTTATTTATCAAAATAGTATATTTTACCAAGACATGAAAAATGAAAATGACAAAGTAAGATATACATTCCTATCTTTGGCACATTTCATGAATTTGTTCAATATAAAGGCCGTACTTGCAAACTCCATTTGAGCAGAAAGCTCTGTCTCTTTCTTTCTTTTGTGTTTTTAAAATATTTTTCTTGGAGTATAGGGGATTTACAATGTTATTAGTTTCAGGTATACAGCAAAGTTAATTAGTTACACACATACGTATATCCACTCTTTTTTTTAGATTCTTTTCCCATATGTACAGAGCATTACAGAGAATTGAGTAGAGCTCCCTGTGCTATATACAGCAGGTTCTTAATGGTTATCTATTTTCTTAAGAAAAGCTTTTTATTTTGTATTGGGGTACAGCCAATTAACAATATTTTGATAGTTTCAGGTGAACAGCAAAGGGACTTAGCTCTACATATACATGTATCAACTCTACCCCAAACTCCCCTCCCATCCATGCTGCCATATAACATTGAACAGAGTTCCATGTGCTATACAATAAATTCTTGCTGGTTATCCATTAAAAATATAGCAGTGTGTAAAGCTCTGTTTCTTTCTAATGGCGCTTTCTCACTTAAAAGTTGATTCTGCATAATTTTAATAAATCTACTGCTTAGACCATATTTACCTCGCAGTCAGAGGAGTAAAGCTTTTGCTTTTAGTCTGTTTCCTACTTTTTCAATACAGTGACAGAAGACTTTGTTACCTTGGTGTAATCTCTAGTCCAGGGTAAGGTAAATACTTCCTCAAGTCATTAATTTTGTAGCCTCTCTCTCTTTTATAGCCTTCCACAATAATCTTAGGTCTTTTGATTAAAAAATATATATTTTTGCTTATTTTATGTCCTAATTTTTAATAATATTTTCTGAAAAACTTTCTGGTGAGTCATTATAGAAACTCATAGATACGTCTACCCAGGGCTTTATGTCTATTTTTTGATAACAGGAGTCATTTGTGGATGTGTGTGTATGTTTTATTATTTTTTTCAACCAGATCAAAGTTGTAAAATTAAGTAATTGTTTGCATAATTTTTCAATACAAGCTGCAAGTGGTAGTTTGGGCCAGAAACATTTCAGTCAACAGTTATTTTTGTGCTTGAGCTGAAGATCAATTCACGTTTAATGTGTATTTTTAAGACCTTGCTCCCCTCCACATTTTCTCTTTTATTTTATCCTAAATGAGAATATACATATAGTACACAGGGCTAAAAATAAACATGAAGAAGGCCGATGAAGAAAAACTAAAATAGAAACATAAGATAAAGACATGGTATGTTACAATGAGCTATTCATTTAGCAGTCTATTTTCAGAAAATAGTGAGATTTGTGCTATTTTATTTTTTAAATAAAAATCCTTCATTAAAATTGTATAAAAACAATTTTGAAAGTCAAATACAGTTTGCTTCAAGCAATCTTATTTGAGTCTTTGTGATAAATTCAGGTATATTTCGATGATAACTCTTCCTGTGTAACACTTAGGTGTATGCAGTTGTTTAAAAATGATTAAACTGGACAACAGCTTGTGATTTGAGCCAAAGTGGTGCAGAAGTTAAGAACCTGATGAGTCAGAAGAGGTGAAAATCCCTGATGTAGCAAGTGATGTAACCTTGGGCAAGTTACTTGGTTCCTGCTTACACCTCATTCTTTTAATTTCTCAGTTGGAGAAAATAATAATTGCTACTTCATGGAATTGCTACGAACAATAGGTGAATTAATCCACATAGTGAGTTTAACCCAGTTAACACACTTGCTACCTGCTGCCATTACTGTTACTTTCCTCCTTATCAACCTCATTCTCAAGAAGGTCCTGAGCCCTTTCTCCAGCTGGAAGTGTGCAGGATCCACCTTTTGCTTTTAGTTTTGCAGTGAAGTGAAAAAAAGAAAAAAAGAAGTGGAAGTGTTAGTCCCTCAGTTGTGTCTGACTCATTTGACCTCATGAACTGTACCCCACCAGGCTCCTCTGTCCATGGAATTTTCCAGGCAAGAATACTGGAGTGGATTGCCATTCCATTCTCCAGGGGATCTTCCTGACTCAGGGATTGAACCTGGGACTCCTGCATTGCAGGCAGATTCTTAACTTTCTGAGCCACAAGGAACTTTTGCTGTAACTACACGTTATATTACCTTGATCATAAAGTTCAGTGGATTATTTTTCCACTTACGAAGTGAAGGCCAAAAAAAAAAAAAAGAAGTAAAGGCCAGATTTATCATGGGAAAAGAGATTTTATTTCGGGGGAAATAAGAGATTTTAAATCTGGGGAAGAAACTTGAATACCTTTGAAAGCAGCAGTAACATATTAGCAGAAAAGACTTTGGAGGTCAATACAGGAAGATATTCGTAAATTTACTCTTTTGTTTTGGTGAGTGCTCTTTGTGGTTTCCTTTTATTTTTTAATGTATGTGCAAGTTTAGCTCCTTGAGAAAATAACAGTATCTTAATTACCAGAATATGGTGGACACGTGATAAATATTTGTGGAACAAATGGAATTGTTTTGGACAATATGTAAATTTTATGATTAATAGTAATTAGTCTAAAAATACAAGATTTCTATATTAGTAACAATTGGTTATTTAAATTTTGACCCTTATAAATGAGTTTACTGGGAGATATTTTCACTAAAATTGTCTTTAAAAATAATCTGTTTTTGCAGGTGGTTGTACCCAGAAGCCCTTTCCAGGCCAAGGGACTTCTTTTATCATGCATAGAGGATAAAAATCCTTGTATATTTTTTGAACCTAAAATACTTTACAGGGCAGCAGGTAAAAATTTCCTTTATATTTATAAACATCTTTATGCATGTTTTTTGGCACAGCTCAAAATTAGAATTTTTCTTTAATAAGCTTGATTTGTATTTCCATTTTGGAAAAAGTTTCTGATTTCTTCTATACTTAGTTTGTCCTCATCTGTATATTTTAAGTTAACTTTAGGGGAAATCCTCTAGCTATTTAAATCTTAATTTTGGAAACAAAGAAGCAATATGCAGTGGTAGCAAGAATGTAGGGATTATGTTTGGCTACACAGTAGATGTTAAGTGGATGTGAGTTGAATGAAAAGGTGAATGAACTCATTGTACTAAATAATAAATGCCCTTTTAGCCAAAGTGTGTTTATAGGTCTTCATCTAAATTAGGATTCCTTTGAGAGTGAAATTGTTGTTCAGTCACTCAGTCATGTGACCCCACGGACTGCAGCACACCAGGCTTCCCTGTCCTTCGCCATCTCCCGGAGCTTGCTCAAACTCATGTCCATTGAGTCGGTGATGCTATCCAAACATCTCATCCTCTGCTGTCCCCCTCTCCTCCTGCCTTCAGTCTTTCCCAGCAGCAGGGTCTTTTCCAATGAGTCAGCTCTTCACATCAGGTGGCCAAAGTATTGGAGCTTCAGTTTCAGCATCGGTCCTTCAAAATGAATATTCAGAGTTGATTTCCATTAGGATTGACTGTTTTGGTCTCCTTGCTGTCCAAGGGACTCTAAAGAGTCTTCTCTAGCACCCCAGTTTGAAAGAGAGTGAAGGGGCCATGATTAAGCTGTGACATAAGGTCTACACTGGGATGGGCATCTGAGGCAGACGATGTGTTTGATCACCCTCCTTCTAGCTCAGAATCATCATTCTGTAAACACTCATCCATGATAGCTACTTTTTCAGCCATAATGGACATTTGATCATCAAACTGTTTATTCTGCCTAATGTGTATTTTGATTTTGAATTTGAGAAACATTGCTTTGGCAAATCATTCTTTTCCTTGAATAGTTAAGCTGAGAAACATTTTGTTTTATGGTGATGTGAATTATGTACATTTAAATACATGTGTAAAGATATTAAGTGTTCAGTTGTATAGATTTGGCAGTCTTAGTGTCTACATAACCACTGTGTAAAATAAGACTGAAAATTTTTCATGGCTCCAGGAAGCTCCTTCCTGCCTTCTCCCTACCCCAAACTTAGCCACTTTCTAGTTGCTTTTAGCACTGATCGTTGCACACAGTTTTGGGCTTCATATATACAAATCAGTGCTGTATATATTCTTTTGTGTTTGCCTTCTTTAGCTCAGCAGGATAGTTTTGAGATTCATTCATAATGTTACTTGTATCAGGGGTTTATTCCTTATTGCTGAGTAGCATTTCCATTGTATGAATATTTCACAGTTTATCCCTTTCCTTGCTGACAAACAAATGACCATCATTGTTTTTAGTTTTTGTTTATTTTTTACCATGCTTCTCTGGACATTCTTGCACAAGTGTTTTTGTGAACATGTTTCTTTCTTTTTTAGAGGTGGTGGTGAGGAAATAAACATCTAGGAATAGAATTGGTGTGCCACAGAGTAGATGTAGATTGAATGTTCTAAGAATCTACTGAAGAGTTTTTCAGAGTGGTTTTGCCATTTTATATTTCCCTTGGAAATTTGTCAGATTTTCAGTTGCTCTTAAGCATACTTTAAACTGAATCTGTATACTTTTTAAGAGCTCTACTATTATCTATCCCATTATGGAATGAAAAGTGACTAACAAAACAATTTGTAATCTTAGGTGGATAGGAAAACATCAGTGTTATACAGAGTAGCTGTTTGATTTCTAATTAATTTGAATACTCTATGAGTATTGTATTTGTCAGGCTAACCAATTCAGGCTAATAAATTAATACAGGTTTTCTTTTTTCAGTATTTAATAAATAGAGACTGAGTAAGAAACATTTGCAAAATATTCCCTTTGTTACAGATTTTGAAATTGGGATTGGTGAGGGAAACGTTTAATGTTATCGGATTCCAGCTAAGAGAATGAGCTTGAGAAATTTGTTTTAGGTTTGGCACTGAGAGCAATTATGAAAGAGCCAGATGAGGATTGGGACTCAAAAGTTTTTCTTCAGTTTCCCTGTGATTGATTATGTGCCATTTCAGGGACTGTTTTTGTTGTTGTGTTGTGGTTTGGTTTTTCTGGCCACTCCGCGTGACTTGCAGGCTCTTAGTTCCTTGATGAGGAATTGAACCTGAGTCCTTGGCAGTGCTAGCGCTGAGACCTGACCACTGGACTGCCAGGGAATTCCTTCAGGGACTCGTAACTGAATCTTTTCTTGAGCCCAGTCTTGTGTGTTAGTCCCTCAGTCAGGGCCGACTCTTTGTGACCCCATGGACTTCAGCCCACCAGGCTCCTCTGTCCATGAATTCTCTAGGCAAGAATACTGGAGTGGGTTGCCGTTCCCTTCTCCAGGAGATCTTCCCAACCCAGGGATTGAACCCAGGTCTTCTGCACTGCAGGCAGATTCTTTGCCATGGGGGCCACCAGGGGAGTCCCTTGATCCCCAGTGTCTCGGTGATGACTAAAGAAGTGTTAGTTCTTTTATGGCTAGAGAACTTCTCCATAGATGGAAGTAGGCTTGGAAATGAGTTAGCTACCAGAGTCTTTATATGAGTGGTTATCAAGGTTGATCCCCGGGGCCAGCCACAGAAGCTCTGTGGGAGCTTCTGAAAAATCCAGGTTGTCAGGCTTCAGTCCAAGGGCCTACTGAATCAGAACCGCTGGGGACTGCCCAGCTTGCTCCATCTTCACAGTCTTCCAGGTTCTTCTGACTCATACTAACTTTTTTTTTTTTTTTTTTGCATTTCATTTACTTTATTAGAAAGAGAGAAAGCCATGACCACAGTATTGTCTATAGAAATCAGCTTCTCAAAAGTCCATAAATTTAGGATGAAGGAGAGCAAAATATGTTAACCCCTGAATACACCACTTTGGAATATTGATTATTTTGAATTCAAGTTACTAAAAAAGCAGCAGGTGCCAGGACACTCTGACCCTCCATTGTCCCATGAAAGCAGGAAACAAATCTTCCATGTGAAACTACTCTCCCTGTGTCAGGAGGTTACAATGTGTCCTTATCACCAGATATAGGGACTTTTGGGCCAAGAAGGCTGGATAAGCACATCTTGTCACTTTCCCACTAATTTGTTACCCCAAACCCAAACTCCTTTGTTTTGCCAATTCTTCGTGAGTAACTTTTGAGAATCAGAGTATACTGTCAGTTTGGAAGCTATAGCTATCCCCATTTATTTATCACCAGTGGTTCTTATGTAGAATTTAGGATGCCTTTAACCCATAGTTATCTTAGATTTGACCTCTGGTTCAAATCTGTGTCCTGTAGCTGAGCATAGTTCGGTTTCTGCTTTTTGGTTGGGGAATCGGGGCTCTGAATGTTCTGACACTGATTCGTCAATTGCTGCCTGCACGCAGCCCAAAGTTCTCTAGCTCTATCAGTTAATTCTCAGGTCTGCTTTATACCTGCAGAGGAAACTCTAAAATTAAAGTTGTTTGGAATGAGATAAAAAAGCTATCAAAATGGATTATTTTGATTCAGTAATCTGGATTATCATGCTAGGTGGAAGACAGTTCTGACAGAGTCTAATAGATAAAAGAAGGTGCTTCAGATTTATCTGAAAGATCAGAATAGCCTGATAATTTCTAAGTGGTGATAATAGGAAGACTTGTAGTATTCATAAGCACTAACTTAATAGATTGACTTTTCCCCCTACATTCATTCTTCTTGAATTTTCAGCATACATTTGGGAATAGTTAAAACAAAGGGGATTAAAGATATGAGCCTTTCCATTTAAATATTTTTAAAGAGTTTACATTGGGAAAGTTCATAGAGTAATAAATATAGATATATATTATTATATTACAAATACTATCCTGACAATTCTTTGTAAAACTGGGAGTTGTTTGGGAGTTGTGTTCATTATATAATCACTCATTTAAGTTAATTATCCAGTGATCTTAACTCAGGGCTTCAGTGCCTGCCTATTAGTGCAGGAGACTTTAGGGATGCAGGTTCCAATCCTTGGGTCAGTAAGATCCCCTGGAGGAGGGCATGGTAACTTACCTCGGTATTCTTGCCTGGAAAATCCAATGGGAAGAGGAGCCTGGTGGGCTACAGTCCATAGGGTTGCAGAGTCAGACACAAATGAAGCAACTTACCACGTCACAGCACAATCTTAACTCAATGGGACATGGTCAAGTATAAAGAAGAACACAGAAGCTAACTGTTGAGTAGTCTGAGCCAATGTCAATAAAATCTATACAGGTAAGTCTTGATTTTGGATATGGATGATATCTTAAATACATAGATATATTCATGAATTATCCAATTTCAAAAAATTAGGCTGACAGTAAAACCCATAATAAGACCTTAAGCCTGATGGAAATTAATCCCTCACATGAACATCCCACTGGGCAGTGAAGTAGCACCTCAGTCATCCAGGTACCAGGGCACTTCTGTCTGGTTTCTCTGTTGTCTTCAACATGGTCCCAGGTGGGTGCTCCATTCCCAACATCATAGATCCATTCCAGCCACCAGGAAGGGGAGAGGGAGTCTTCTCTTTGAAGAATGACATGGAAGTTGCACATATTAAATCTACTCCTATCCCACTGATCAGAACTTAATCACAGGGCCACACCTCACCGCAAGAGAGGCTGACAGTGTAGTTGCAGGTGTGTGCTCAGTTGCTTCAGTCGTGTCCAACTCTTTGCAACCCCACTGGCCAAAAGCAAAGCTTGCCAGGCTCCTCTGTCCGTGAGATTTTCCTGGCAAGAATACTGGAGTGGATTGGCATGCCCTCCTCCAGGGGATCTTCCTGATCCAGGGATTGAACTTGCATGTCCTGTGGATTCTTTCCTACTGAGCCACCGGGGAAACCGACAAGGTAGTTGAGTGCTGGGCTAAAGACTAAGAATGTTGTTGTTACATAGTGATGGGAGACAGATATTGACAACTA